TGTGGTACCACCCCATGCTTGAAGCAATTTATCACCAACTCCTAATATTCTCATATCCTTGTTCATGATGACACCAAATGGAAAAAGGCGTAAGAAAAATGTGCAACTTATCGGTGGTAATTCACGGCCTAATGGAGTATTCATTCTATTGTTTTTCGCAATCTGATTTCCAATGTAAATTGCATAAAATATTAAAAAATGAATGTTAAATGTATTATTATAAATTATAATTGTATTATAAATGTATTAAATAAATTATAAATGTATTATTATATTATAAATAATATACATATAATTTAATAAAAATTAAACTAATAAACACAATTACAATCAAAAGTTAAAAGCATAATTTAATATTGCAATACTATATGTATTATTAATTAATTATATTTAGATTCTCTAAAAATGCAAAACATTTTGCAAATATAATTTTAAATATTTTTAAATATTTTTTTTATTTTTTGTTTGTTCATTCTAAAAATTTTGCCATCTTTTGAAACTTTTAATCAGCACTGTATAATACATATAATAATAATTTATTATATATGTTTATAAATTGGGAGTACAAATTAGTTCGGTCCGTTTTTTATGCATTTATTTCAAAACAAAATGAACAGATCAATTAAAGTATTGTCCATCGCTGCCTACTACTTTTTCTCATCTCTCAGGCAATTTTCGATTCCATCTCGAAAAAATGACTCGTCTTTGGAGGCGATCTAATTTTGAAGCCAATTTTCGATTTCTGCGAAAGAAGTGAACCGGTGACTTGCTGCATCCTTCAGAACAACCAGTAATCAGAAGGAGCAATGTCCGGAGAATACGGCGGGTGTGGTAAAACATCCCATTTGAGCGTTTCCAATATATTTTTTTACGACTTTAGCGACCTGAGGCCGAGCGTTGTCATGAAAAAGAATAACTTTATCATGTCTTTGCTCGTATTCCGACCGTTTTTCTCGCAATGCTCAAACGAATCAATTGTAGCCGATACCGATCGCCCGTAATGGAATTGCCAGGTTTCAGCTTATAGTAAACAAGATCCTTTTGGTCCCCAGATACAGAGCATTATGAATGATCTTTAGAATCATGAATGTTCGGCCGTGATGTTGATGTTGAGGTCGATGGCAACGATTGATTGGCAACGGGCTTAGCGTAGTATTTTTTCTTCTTGGGATTGTCGTAGAATATCCACTTCTCATCTCCGATTAGTCACAATCCAATGCAAAAAACCTTTTCTCTGTTGTCTTTGAATCAGCTCTTCGCAAGTGAAAAATCGCCTTTCAACGTCTCTCGGTTTCAATTCCATAAGGCACCCAATTTCCTTGTTTTTGAATCATTCCCATGGCTCTCAATCGTACAGAAACGGCTTATTGAGTTATCCCCAATGATTCTGCAAGCTCCTCTTGCGTTTGACTCTGATCTTCTTCAAGTAATGTCTCTAATTCTTTGTCTTCGAATTTTTTTGGCTGTCCAGAGCGAAGCTTGTCTTCAACGCTGAAATCCATCCTTAAAACGTCGAAACCATTCCCTATATGATTTATCAGTTGGAGCAGTGTCATCATAAACTTCGATAAGCATTCGATGGGCTTCAGCCGCACTTTTCTTCCAATTAAAGCAGAAAACCTTCCGCAAATGCTGCTTGGTTAACACAAAATTCGACATTTCAAACACAGTAAAAATCAAGATTTTTATATGAAACTCAAAGTGATATAAACTGAATATTATTAGCAGATGTTTAACCTCTCTGAAACCGCCAAAATCAGCTGTCACTATTCACAATAGCTGGAGTTATCTTTAGGGAAACGGACCGAATTAATTTGTACTCCCAATATACATATATATACATATATATATATATACCCTCATATAACACACAATTTTCAATACATATACGCACATTCAATTTTATCCTTCGATATGTATGATTTTGTTAAAATATTAGATCACTTGTTATTTGTTAATATATAATGTAGAACAGTTCTAAGAGAAAAATGGTCTGGAACACATTGAAAATGTGTTAAAATTTCGGTCAATTAATAAACATTCGTTCCATCGGAAACGGATTATTCTCGATTTGTTTCTCTTTTTGGAATCTACATATCACATGATTAAAATCTTTTTGAATGTATTATGCACTTTTTAACGGAACATTCCTAAGATTCATGAATGCCTTTATCAAAACAAGTAATTAATCTCGTACTTGTA